TTAAAGAAAAAAATGTCGAAAATATGTTTTTTTTTCTGTTTCAATTTTTTTGCTTACAGTTTTATAATGTTATATTTTTCTCTTATGCAAATACATTAAATAAATAGCTTTTGTGAAGAAACATACTGGATTAAGCTTCAAATTTCAAAGATATTGTTGAAAAAACGAGAAAAAAAACACAATTTTTGAACATTAATATCTCCTAAAGCGCAGAAAATCGCAACCTGACATTTTCAGCAAAAAATAAGCAATACTCGATAAACAAAATATCAAAATTTGAGAGAGGTATATTTTGGTAAACATCAAAATTTCTTCATTTTAATGGAACATTATTTTTAACTATAACTTTTTCAATGCATTGAAATGGCGTTTTGAAGACTTGACGACTTTGGCAAAATTGTTTATCTTGATAAAATAAACAACTCTTCTTAAGACGTTAAAACTTCACAGCCTACTGTTTTCGAGGTATATTCATTTAAACAATATATTTAAAATTAAAACACTTATTTTCACATTTTTTCTGTAATTTCACATAACTCGAAAACAGTAGGCTGTGAGGTTTTAACGTATTAGGAAAAGTTGTTTATTTTATCAAAATAACCAACTTTGACAAAGCCGTGAAGTCTTCAAAACACAAATTCAATGCATTAAAAAAAGTTATAGAAAAAAAATCATGTTCCACTAAAATGAAGAAATCTAAAAAAAACACCTCTCTCAAATTTTGATATTTTGTTTATTGAGTATTGCTTAATTTTTGCTGAAAATGTCAAAATTGTGTTTTTTTTCTCGTTTTTTCAACAATGTCTTTGAAATTTGAAGCTTAATCCAGTATGTTTCTTCACAAAAGCTATTTATTTAATGTATTTGCATAAGAGAAAAATATTACATTATAAAGCTGTAAGCAAAAAACCGAAGCAGGAAAAAAAACCATATTTTCGACATTTTTTCTTTAACTCCATATAACTTGGAACCTGTAGATTGTGAACATTTAACGTCTTTGAAAGAGCTGTTCATTTTGTCAAGATAAACAACAAGACATCAAGTTTCCAAAAGGTCAGAGAAAGAAGTTAGATTGTGGCACCATCTTTGCGGAAGAGTTTTGAACTATTTGTTTATGTCAATAGATGGTCCTTATTATAGTGAGAAATTTTGCCCAAGACACCAAGTCGCGGAAATGCTTCGTTTTGGAGTTATTAATTTTGCTCCGCTAGGTTGCATTCCTGACCCAGTGTGCAATGTAAGCATTAGACATTTTGAGAAATTGCGCTTGGTGTTTTTCTTGCCTGCTGTCCTCTGTCGCCATATTGTCATTATGAAAATGCCATTAGCCTTGGAATAAAATCCAAGAAATTTCAATAAAATAATGGCTAAATAAGAGATCCGAAATGATTTCCAGTGTGCATTGGTATGAATTTATGAATTGAGATCTATTTTCTGTAAAATTAAGGTGATTCCATCAAATTCATTTGATTTCTGAAACAATTTTTTTTGTGAACTTGAATTATTTTGGAGGCGCATTTATTTAACGCTCATATTATCTCAATATACACGATAACATTTCAAGCGCATATGTTTTGGAACCTTTAAAAAGTAATATATTTTCTTTAAGATTTTCACTAATGTCGCCATGAAACAAAATTCATTGCATGGTGATCTTGACACCAACACTCAAACCTATTTTTACCGCTAAAGATTTCCATTTGAAAAAAAAAAGTTTCAGCAGAACAGAACAACAACAAGCTAATTTATGGCGGTTGCTTTGAAGCCAATACAAATTAAATTGGCTTTATAACTGATTTTCACCAAAGCGTAATAAAACTGCTTGGATACAATATTACTCTTATAGAGGCTATGAGAACCTTTTGTAGAGTATGAGGCTTCCTGACAAAAGGTTTTAAGACAGCTTTATTGTGATTCTCAAACATGCTTTATAAACCTTTTCAAGAGTGGTCCACTTAGCTGTATGACGATCTTATAGCGGTTATCAAAAGGTTGTGCTGGAGCTATTAACTTTATTGGCGGTTTTATGAAATTGATCTCAATAACCACTAATAGAGTGCAATAAAACAAGAAATGCTACTTGGGATGGCAGTTCAAGTGCTTTACCAACTATCACACGCGAAGAAACTATTCGAGTTCATGATTATATCGGGTGACGATCCGCAATCGTTGAATGGAAGATCTCCCTGATCGACAATTAATATGATACCACCTTTTGGACCGTATAGAGAACTAAATTTGTCGGCAATGTTTGGATGTAGGAGAAGGTTGTACGTTGTTGGTATAGGTCAAGTTCAAGAGTATTCAATAGGGCCGGTGGTGTAATGGTAAGCGTGACTGCTTTCTCACCCCAATGGGTCTGGGTTCAATTGGTGGGAACTTTCTGAGGCATAAAAATACTTTGGTCACGTCTTTCTCAACGCCCATGTGTGTTGAATGGGTGCGATATCCAAATGCAGGTGTGGAAGCTGCCTTCCTTCACATTCGATTGCCGTCAATGGATGTCAATCGATGTCCGTCGGTGATTGGCACTAGATTGCGGAACAGAAACCGATGTTAAATAAAGGAAAGAGACGAAGGATACTCTTTCGCCTAGTGTTTTCCATTTCCTAGTTGTTTTTGGCTACCTAGGTATCGAAAAACAGCTGATGGTTTTTCTTGGTAATTCTTGGGAATCGGGAAACACTTTTATATTCTATGTGACCAAAAACGTCCATTCGAATGTACATTTTTTAACAATTTTCTTTCACATCATGTCTTAATTTATTTTCCAATTCCTACTGGAAAGTTATTTCGACTTTCGTTGCAAGCTTCTTCTGGCTACGGTCAATAGGTTATTCCGTCTTCTCCCGCCAGTTTTTTTTTAACTTCCACCGGAATATTGTGGCAACTTTACCTGGAAGATGCTACCGACATCCCGCAGAAATCCCTTTTCCAACTTTCTCTTTCCCAACTCTCTCCCAACTTCGATTTTCCCGAAAACCCTTTGGCTTCCGTCGGGAAAAGCTTCCAACTTTCTTCAGAAGTTTCTTCCAAACTACCTCCGGAACTTTCTTCCAGTGTGTCCAGGAAGTTTCCTCCGTCTTCCGCAGGAAGTTTCTTTAAATTTCTACCGGAAATAGGATCTATCGAATTCTCCCAGATGCTTCTTTCGTCTTCCTCTAGAAGTTTCTACTTGGGCTTCTTCCGGAAGTATTTCCCGACTTCTATTGGAAGATTTTTCTGAGCTTTTACTAGCTTCTCCGGGAAATGGCATCTCCTGGAATGTTCTTCCAATTACCGAGACCTTCTGTCATCCAATTTCTCCAGAAGTTTCTCGATATTTTTCTTGGAAGATCCCTGGATGTTTTTCGGACTTCAAAGTTCCACCAGAAGAGCTTTTTTCACCATTCTGTGGTACATTTTTTGGCTTCTTTCAAAATTCAATTCAAACATTTCCCGGAAATTTCTTCCGACTTTCCTGGAAAGGCCAATCTTAGTCCAAAAGTTTAAATTTTCTCCTTCGAAAATGGCAAAAATATAAAATTAATAGTAAATACCGATTTTTCAAAACCATTGATACCGATAAGTTTGAAAACAATCTGGCAACGCTGGACAGGGCTGATGATTTGTTTTGCATTTATTTGACGTTAAAAAAAGGCTTAGCAAAAGGGTTACTAAAGAGGCTGAATTTATAAAAAGGGTACAAATAAAAATTGGAATTACAATATTACAAGACTTACTAGGACTGAGACAATTCACTTTATTCGACTTTCTCGTGGTCCCCTGAGTAAAAGTCTCGAACAATCTTATACCCCAAAACTTCCTATTTTATTTTAAATACCGCCCTCTTTATGAGTTTTGGTATGTTGTCCCAATGTCGGTTGTATAAAGCCTAACTAAAGCATGTTATGACATTGCCGTCCAAAAGTTTTTTTTTTAGGAAATGGCTTGAGTAACATTTTTCTAGAACTTTTGAAAACGATATCTCGTTGTATTATCCCTCGTTTGGGTGATTATTCAAATTCACCCCCCTCCCCCTCCCCTTTACCCAATTCAGTCTCTTTATGGGGCTACAATTCCTGATGACAAGTACAACGGCTTAACAAAAAAGACCATAACCATTGAAAGATTCACAAAACGTTTGATTAATTTATGAAGTTAAATTGATATCGATTTTCATGTACCTATTTTTGAAAACTTTTCGTATATTTTGGATGTTGCGTACTGAGGCACAGTCACTATTGTTATTGTAAACAATATAAATGCCTAAAATACTTAAACTTCCTTATATGTAAATTAAATAGTGACCGAAAAATTTACAATTAATTTCGTGGTTTGTTTTCATTCTGGACATAAGCCCTTTTCAAAAGTTACGCGAGAACTATAAACTGAAGCGAATCAACACTAATTAATAAATGCCGATTTCTTTTCTTCAATTAAATTGCTTATGTCTTTGAAGAATGCAAATAACCTTTAACTATAAAACAAATATCAATCCTTTATCAATTGATTCTCGGGCAACAGAGTTGTATGCGAAGAAATCTTTAGCTCGAACCTCATTTTTCCCCGGCCAACCAACCGATAAAAATAACGAGAACGATGACGACGTTGTTGTTTTGCGCTCGCTCGCTGTTCTCCAGCGGTGGTGACCGGTTTTGCATATTGTATACACTCTTATGTGCACTCTAAACCGTACGATAACGCCATCATTCCAAAAAAGGAACTGACCGCTATTAATTTATCATATTCTACGGTCACTTCCCTTTTGCGCAGTACCACAGCTACACTGCCGATGATGCCGATGATGGTGATTATGTTTTTTCCCATAAATGGCCATCGCCAAGGCGTAAAATTTGAACGTTCGATTCTTGAGACGAATACACTTCAGGAAGTAATCAGCTTCGAGTATGTTTCAACCACTACGATTAGCGTGCGGAAACCGTAATAGATACAGTTTTGTGTTCAATTGGATATATTAACACCAATTGACGTTTCCTTCAGAAGTGCGGCGGAAAGAGACAACGTGGCAAATTGTAATTAATTGGATGTGGCGTGCTCAGATTCGTTACATTAGCAAATTAGATCCACAAAGGCGTGAATCTATTTGGAAACAAGAAGAAATGCATTCTCTTCATTCTAGTTGCAACTTTGCTAACGAACGGACATACGGATTTCAAGATGTATTCAGTCAAATTATTGTTCTGGTGAGTGAGCTTGATTTTCTTTCCTATGTCAAGACTAATGTTTTTGTGATTTCAGCATTGTTGGAGTGATCAATGCCGCAGCTTCTGCGATGCAATTTAACTGCAGTACTGCAAGAATGAAGGCGTGTGAAATCACTAATATCATAATCACGGAATACACCGACGTGTCGGAATGGGAGTTTCCGGACCACTCGGATATCTCGTTTGGGAGTTATCCACTTCCCGATGAATCTACCATCATAACAGAGATCACCAAGGAGGTCTCTGAAAAGCTGACCAACGCTCAAAACGTCCAGATGCAAAACGTATCACTGATGTCGTTCTTCCTTTGGGAACATCTGATCAGTCTTGACGCATCTTACAATTATCTGTCCGAACTCATCGTTGATCCAACAGCAATGTACAACTTGAAATCACTGGTGCTGAAACACAATCGCCTGCAAAACATCGATTTCCTGAAAGGCCTCTTCAAGCTACGAGACCTGGACCTGAGCAACAATTATTTGGAGAAAATCGACCTCTCCATATTGGACCCCGCCAAAGACCTTGCCACGCTAAATCTCTCCAACAACCGCATCCGAACCATAACTACAACCATAGGGGACATGCTGCACCTGCCATGGCTTACAGTTCTGATGCTTAACAATAATCAACTGACTATCCTGGATGCTAGCCGATGGCAATTCAATGTTCTGCAGGACTTCTTCCTCTCAAACAACCGCTTGTCCTATATCAGTATGTGCGAAATCCAGAACTCTTTCCCGCGTCTCCAATCGCTCTACCTGGATGGCAACAACTGGGAATGCCCCAACCTGAACAGTACCATCGCTCAACTGCACGAATCGGGTGTCAAGTTGGTTAACTACAGCTCGCACAACTGCACGGAAGCCATCGAAAACATTTGCTGTTCTTAATCGCCAGTCAACGAACCTGTTTCGCCAAATCTAACGCAAATCACTCCTGAATAGTGCGAGTAGTAGACTGTCATAGAATTTAGCTTCCTCTTTCACAAGTGACGATACTCACAGACGAACCCGGACCAGTCTAACATGTAGGTAGAGTCAATTATAATTAGTCAAAGCCCAAACTGTCCTCAATAAAGAAGTTAATATATTGGCACAAAGCTCGCTTTCCGACTGATAATTATCAACTCCCCTTCTCCGAAGGTCTGCCGCTGCGTCTTATCACACCTGTTTAATCGCATTACTTAGTGTCACATTCCGTGCCAATTTACTGCTGCTAAATTTTTAAGTGGAATGCTGTTTGGTATGATGGAGCGATAAAAAAAAATCGCATCATTTATGCTTTGTTTCGTTTCGGTGTGCTCTGGCTGCATGTGCGTCGGTCGGTAGACTCGTGCAAGGTTGGCTCCAGGCAATTTTTCAACTACAATCTGGTTAGATTTGTATTGTTTTTTTTTTTGTCTTTCTTTTCTTTTGCGATTGTTAGCTCCAAACGAGTTCGTTTCATACATGAGAATGCAATTAAATGACGGAACGAGTGCAAGTGATGGTTTTAGTGGTTGTGACCCAGATTAGAGAATTGTTTTGTGTTTGTTGGGATTTGTGTCAGAAGTAGATATATTTTTGAAATCATGTCAACAGATTGTTTTCCGGTAGCTCTGTCCGAGGCGAGTTGTACCCGGAAGATTTGTTTGCTTTGTTTACTCAAATCACTTATAGAATATTTGTTTTATTTTCTCGTTCCAGGTAAGCAACGACCATGCGATAAATTGGTAAATTGTTCTCTGAATGAGACAATATTGGCGTAAGTTACCAAATTGTGTTACCTCGTGCAGCCCGGAAGTTGGTTTCCCGAATTATGTTGGATAAGCAATTATTTTTCGAGCAAATAGTCAAAATGTCATAACTGCTTTTGTAAACAATGGCTTCAAACGTCAATTTGTCAAAATTATTAGCTCACCCACGCAAACAGTAGGGCAATGTTTTCCCAACCTGGAGGTTGCGTGGGTGAGCTGGCAATGAAGCACCCAACGGTCACACACATTGAGATTGAGTCTTTATGAACCGCAAAGTCCACAACACTCTGCGGTGACCTAGTCAAGATTCAACTCAATTTATAATCTCTGATACGACAACTTCTCGGGTTGTACCACAGCTAATAACAAACTCCGCAGGCAAATCATGTACACAAACATGCTTCCTATTAGCACCGGTTGCCATGAAGAATACTTGTTCTACATCAACAACCCACTGCACTGCTTACACTTACTTACTCTGCAGCGTCGCATCCTATAACGGTGGAAATTAAACCAGCCTTATTCAATCTTGCATGCATGCGATACTAATCCCGTTGAAATGGTGCTACCACCCTCTGCCTGCATACCATCGCATCGTCGTTGTTGACGTCGTCGTTGATCGACCCTCAGACGAGTTTATTATTAACTGTCATCCCATGTAGGCAAGTGTTTAATGCGCTTAACGATAAAATATCGCCTCGCACCGAATGGACGACCGACGGTGGACTGAACCGAGGGGGTAATTGTAGCTAATAATTGCATTTTATGCGCTTGTAGGCAAGTGCTTCCGGTCCGATTCGTTCCGAGCGTTGATGTGAGAACTTTGCGCTCACGAGCGACAACAATCTGATAGGCGTGTTGAACAATCCGTCAAAACTTGAGCCTCTCCTGGGGTAGCCACCATCGCGCCGTGCCATTGCGTGCATAACGTGAGCTCTCGCTTGCAACGTCGCTTAGTTATGAGCATGTGAGTTAGTAGCTTGTAACTTATACGGTAAAGCTAATTCTAATTCATGTTGTACTGTCACTTGAACAACGCACTGTTCAACGGGGCTTTGCAAGCGAAAGTGATATTTTTATGGCGCTACACCACCGTGCGGCAACGGCACAATTATTGGTAGTGATCGGTGTAACTTGGGTTAAACGATTTAGTATACTCTAATTGACGTCAATTAAGCCTAACGTGGCTTATAGACCTACGTGTTCATTACACACAGTTGATCTGAACCCAGCGTGAAGTCTATGCACCACCGCCATCTAATTTTTCATAACCATATCAACTGTTCAGGATTCATATCAAGTCATTCCGACCGGTAGACCACCACAGTTAGATTGGCAATAATGGAGCCAAATTACACACCTCGACAGACTAATTGTGTCCTTAGGGGCACCTAAGTGTACACATAAAATGCATTGATTGTATGTCTGGGCGAGGTGATTTATTGATTTTCCGCCGCAGCTTATATCAGACTTGAACGTGCAGTGAAATCGCGGCTTCAACTTTTTCGAAGTTGTGCACGTGCTGCAGAACTAATTGTTTGAGAATTACACAATGTATATGCCCCCGTGGGATACAAGAAGGCCTTCGAGGCGTGAATTAAATGAATGTGTTAACGTTCTGCTCGTTGACGCACTAGATCTTTATCAATCAAATAACGGTACAAATAGTTAGAGCTCCTTTAAGATCGCAGAAATCACAATATTTCTCAAAACAGTTTTTAACTTTTTTAGCAACATGCTGTTAAGATGGTCGTTGAGCATCCTAGAAATAGAACAGATTTTTATAAAGCCAGCGTTCAAACCAGATAAAGTATGTGCATTTGAATGGTTTTATTTGCACACATAAATTGTATTGTCAAAAATTTAGACTTTTACCGATTTCCTTGAAATTTTAAAGAGATCAGTGGACACAACCTCTGAGGTTTATGACAGATAAGTCAAGTTTCGCGTACCCTCCTCAAAATGGTAGATGTTTCACCTGTGTCTTTTTTTTTCTCTTTGGTTTTTACTCTTTATTTGTTCCAAATTCAAAATAAATTACATTTAATTTTAACCTAGGAGCTCCAGTTACTACAGTACCTTACCAGCCTTAATTTTTATGATGTATATCTAAGTGTTTTTACATTGTTCCTGCCTTGGCAATTCATTATTTTAAACAGGTTTCTTTAAACCTGCATGTCAGTTTAACAATTAACATCATAAAACTAAAAACTAGCACTAAATCTTATCTAAGTATAAAGGGAATTAATCATTGCAATTGAGGATTCCAACGATTTTTTCCTGAAATTATTAATAATTTTGTTGGACATTTGTTCTAAAGTCTCAAAATTCGAAATTCTATGTACCTCGGTAGTACTGTACCAGGGAGGCAACGTCAAAATCATCTTCAAAACTTTGTTCTGAATCCTTTGAAGTGCTTTTTTCCTGGTAGTGCAACAACTAGACCATATTGGAACAGTGTAAAGCATGTCCGGTCTAAAAACTTGTTTAAATATTAGAAGTTTATTCGCCAGGCAAAGTTTGGATTTCCTGTTTATAAGAGGATACAAACATTTTATATATATGTTACATTTGGCTTGAATGGCCTCAATGTGATCTTTAAAAGTTAATTTTTGGTCAAGTACTAATCCAAGATATTTCACTTGGTTTGATCAGGAAATTGGAACTCCGTTCATAGTGACTATGTGACTACTATTAGGTTTCAAAAAGGAAGCTCTAGGCTTGTGTGGAAATATTATAAGTTGAGTTTTGGAAGCGTTGGGAGAAATCTTTCATTTTTGTAAATAAGAAGAGAAAATATCTAATTTTTTCTGCAGTCTGCTGCAAATAACACGAAGACCTCTTCCTTTAACGGAAATGTCTGTGTCATCAGCGAACAAAGATTTGCGGCAACCCTGAGGCAGATCAGGGAGGTCCGAAGTGAAAATGTTATACAATATAGGCCCAAGAATGCTACCCTGAGGAACTCCTGCACTAACAGGTAGTCGATTAGATTTGGAATTTTGATAATTTACCTGCAGAGTTCTGTCAGTTAAATAATTTTGAACTAATTTCATAAAATAGAGTGGAAAATTAAACCTTTTCAATTGTGCAATCAAACCTTCATACCAAACACTGTCGATTACTTTTTCTATGTCTAGAAGGGCAACTCCAGTTGAGTAGCCTTCAGATTTGTTAGAACGAATTAAATTAGAGTTGATAAGTAGTTGAATGCCCATGGCGAAACCCAAACTGTTCATCTGCAAAAATGGAGTTCGTATTGATGTGAAGCATCATTCTATTGAAAATTATCTTTTCAAAAAGTTTACTTATTGAAGAAAGCAAATTTATTGGACGGTAGCTAGAAGCTTCAGCTGGATTTTTATCCGGCTTCAAAATTGGAACAACTTTTGCATTTTTTCATTTATCAGGAAAGTTTTCCAATTGGAAACATCTGTTAAATAATTTTTCCAAGAAAGACTAGATACTCTCTGGGAGTTTTTTGATTCGGATCTAGAAAATTCCATCATCACCTGGAGCTTTAACATTTTGAAAAATTTTAGTTATAGATCTTACTTCGTCCAAATCTGTCCCCCAGAAATCATCAAAAATATTTTCTCGAAAGAAAATATTCAGATAATCCCGAGCAACCTGATTCTAAATATGACTCAAACTTAAATTATGGGAACCCTCCAATTGCTTGGCAAGTGAGTTTTTTTTCTGAATTTGTGATCAATATTTTACCACCTTCTTTGAGCGCTGGAATAGGCTTTTGAGGTTTTTTTCAAAATGTTTGTGAGTTTCCAAAAGGGTTTGGAACTCGGGTCTAATTTAGAATCATTATTCGCTTTTTAACCCTCCGTTACTCGCGCCAACTTTTGTAACACGAGTACTCGCGCGTTGTACTTTGTACAACAGTGTGAGTTTTCCATTGCCATTTTGCAGCCGAGCTACCAATCGATATGAAACCAACGGGTATTCCTTAATAAACTTGTTTTTAACTAAACAAGTTAAACTTTTATCACAGTTAACCCCCAAAAAATGCGGATAATAGAGAAAATGTGAATGGAAACCGCGTAAACGGTATCCGTACTACGTGGGATTTGACTTAATTGGTTACAACATGGAAAATCTCGAGATCCTGACCAACTAGAATGTTACTGTCTTGGGCAAAGTTGTTTTAGAGATCATCACCTTTTGCTGGTGGAGAGTAGTTCAGAATTTTCTCACTACGTAGTGCTAGAATACATGTGAAATTCTCGCATGTGATGTATCTCGAGATCCTGACCAGATAGAAAGATACTGTCTTTCACAAGGTTTTTTAGGAGGTCAAAGTCTATTGCTTGGTGCTCAATAGTTCAGAATT